GTTCATGGCGTCTCCACTTGCATCATGGCATATTCACGTCACATAAAGCGCAATCTTAATCACTCTCGTGCCATTTCCAACCACGTCACGTTTGTCTCATCTTCGTCTGCTGTTTCTCACGCAGCCTCCTCTCGTTCAACGCGCGATCAAAAACGCCACGCGGAGGAAATTACACCGGATAGTACTTCGTAAGCACTATCTGCTCCTAGCTGACCTTGCCGCCTGTGCGTGTCACAGGGTTTGATGTTCGGCTACGCCACCGATGAGACGGAGGAGTGCATGCCCCTGACCGTGGTGCTCGCACATAACCTCAATCGCCGCATCTCGGAGATGCGGAAGGAGGGCTCGCTGTGGTGGGCCCGGCCCGACTCGAAGACCCAGGTAGGTGCGGAGAGATGGGAAGAGATTCTGAGTCCGGTTCGCACATGTGAACTCAGTGGCCGACTGAGGATGACCCCGTGGTGCTGTCTACAACTGCTAATGTTTGTAGTTAAATGTAAATGTCCACCGTCTTATGGTTGGGAGGTGCACTTGCTGAATACCACTCTGAGTATGTTAGTAATGTGAGTAGCTTGTCACGCTCTTTTCATATTTGGAGAAATACTCGAATCTTTCGAAGAAATGATCGGTGAGCTGAGTATTTAGTGCGCCTCGTAAGGAACGTGCTGCTTACTCATGACAGACTCATTTCAGGACCAGTTTTAGAACTTTTCAAGTTTCCTGAATTACTGATGTGGTAACCGGAATCACTGGCCCGTATTAGTGGTCCAGAGTGCTTATTTTGTGTGCGCATGTATTCGTGTGAGTCGGTCGTTTGATAACGCACTGTCATCTGCCGGAGGCCTGCAAAATACAGTTTTTCGTTTCGCCGCCAGGTGACAATTGAATACGCCAACGACAACGGTGCCATGGTGCCGCTGAACGTCCACAGCGTCGTTGTCTCGATCCAGCACGCCCCGGAGATCTGCATAGAGGATCTCCGGCGGGAGATCATGTCGAAGGTAAAAACTTATGAAACCATTAATGCAGCCGCGCATGTGCCGTTGCCGCAGACAAATATAAGTCAAGTTCAGTAAAGTTAGGAAGCTTAAAACCCTGCCCATGCAACGTGAACGTGATGTCGTGTAGCTTCCCTCCGTAGCCTATTTATAATCTTTTTATTTTAGTGGTTTGTGCTTAACGTACACCAACACAGACAAATATTCGTCACATCGCAGCGCTGAAAGACGGGTAGCATCGCTTCACATGGCTATCTCAATTGCAAGACTATCTATGATTGAGCGTCAACTGCATCAGGGCTATGTCCTGTGCTGAAAAAACATACAATTCCAGATAGCGTGACCTGTGAGATAATGAGAGCCGTTCCTTTTTAATTGAATACACCCGTGAAAAAGTTGTACTTTTATCATGTTTTCATGCCGCGCGGACGTTCCCCAAAGCCGTGCGTGTTTTCACTCCCGCAAGTCTTCTCGTGGTCCCCATCGTTATCCAAACGTGGCTGTCGTGATCTCCGGCAGGTGGTGCCGGAGGTGATCCCTGCCAAGTACCTGTCCCCGCACACCATCTACCACGTGAACCCCTGCGGCGAGTTTGTCATCGGAGGTCCGCAGGGCGACGCCGGCCTCACCGGCCGCAAGATCATCGTCGATACCTACGGCGGTTGGGGAGCCCATGGTGGCGGCGCGTTCAGGTCAGTGTCGTTAGGGGTGCATATGGGTGCAGAGGCGCATGGGGGGAGGGGGGCGGGCAGAGGCGCGCTAACACAGCCCAAGGCACACATTTGTTGGACAGGTTTGATTTGTAGGGTTCCAAGTACATTTTACAGCTCAGGCCGTAATCTTACTCCAGTTATGCTCGCTGCCTGCTGTGCCTTTATCTACCCCCGCCATGGTAACAATGTCCAAGTTGTCTACCGTACCGTGTAAACAACCGTGTCGTAAAGTGTCGTGTTTTACCGTGTCGTAAAGTGTCGTGTTTTACCGTGTCGTAAAGTATCATGATGAGAACAACCTTATGAGCGGCATAAATAATAAATCTAAGACATTACCGATGGTCGGCATCCGCCCTGCCTCACGTGTCTGGTCGCTCCACAGCGGCAAGGACTACACGAAGGTGGACCGGTCGGCCGCCTACGCCGCTCGCTGGGTGGCCAAGAGTCTGGTCAAGGCTGGGCTCTGCAAGCGCTGTCTCGTCCAGGTCAGAGCCTGCTACAATTTACCTGATCCTACTAATTTTCTGCTATCGCTGCAGTTTCCAGTGTGTCTCCCGTATACAGATATATGCCGCGTAATTCTATATCCGCAGTAAGGCACGGGATAAGCATACCCCTTGCCCAACCGCAGAAGTTCAAGTGAACCCTTCGAGTGTTTTCGACTTGGCGAGAGCATGGCGAGCAATAGCGCGTTCCTTCGGCGTGAATGTGAATGGAATTTCACCCTGTGCGTTTTAAGACCAGTAGATCACTCGCACCATATTTGGTCACTGTGGCATAAGTCATTCTCGGGGGCTCGCAAGCGGTGTCGGCCGTCTGTCGGGCAGTTTGCCATACGTATGCCATCCACAAATTCGGCAGTTTGCCATGGATTAAGGGCGAGTTTCAGTCACCAGGCTTGATTAGGCGGTCTGTTGACCTCTGACTTCTGAGAGGTGAAATCAGGTCAGTGACCTGGCATGACCTCATGTAGCGCACTGCGACTGTAAAACTAGCATTTTGGGACGCAGAGACAGTTTGAAGTCATGTCAGGTTAGGAGAGTGCAGTGAACAACGGGTATAAATTATGCCGGCATAGCAATGGAACATGATTGCCAGTGTGTGGCTTAAGTAAGGCCCGGAGTTCCGTTGAAGCAAGTAAGTCATAACGATGGAATGCTATTCCCATGACGAAATCTCTTCTCGTCGCAGCTGGCATACCTTAGACTCGCAGGAACTAGCCTACGTATGTTTTGCAAAATCGCAGTATGACGTGATATGATGAGCTAAAACACACCAATATCGTCCTAAACACACCAAGTCCTAGAATCCATCCTCGACGAAAAGCCATACGTTACCGAGCGTCAGAAAGCAAAATACAGCGAAATGACATTACAAAAGGGCTGTCAAGTGCCAATTACTCATGACGTACGATGTGAAAGGCCTTTTACTTATTACCTTTGTTATATATATATATATATATATATATATATATATATATATATATATATATATATATACATATTATACATACATATATACCTTTGCTAAATATTTATGTATTACTTTTTATCTTCTTGTTATTAAGACCTTTCATAATCATCCTATTATGCATCCAGATTATCACTGGATGTGCACAAATGTACAAATTCCGCAAGTGCTCACAATAGTTCAAAGTTTATCTAAAAAAAACCCGATGTTCCATTCGGCCATGGCTCGTGTTCCTTCGTGAACGTGCGTTCCTTCGAGCAAAGCCGTTCCCGCGGTATTAAACTTTTTGAGCATTACCTCTTCAACAAGAAACTTCCCACACTGAGCTTTGCTCTTCATCGCATTCATACCTTTACACCGTCCGCGTATCCTCATCCGTTAGCACTCACACGAAAAATCTCTGTCACAACCTATGAACACTTGGTTTACATTTTATAGGTGTCCTACGCTATCGGCGTGGCTGAGCCCATCTCCATCACCGTCTTCCACTACGGCACCAGCAAGTACAGTCAGCGGCAGCTGCTCGACATTGTTAAGAAGAACTTTGACCTTCGGCCCGGCAAGATCGTCAAGTGAGTGAGGGACGTCTTCCGATCGCGAGGATTTGAATAGCGGTTTTCTGAGGACTGGATACAATGGGGAGCTATTTGAACGAGGAAGAAATGAAGGGTTCACTGCTTCCGTTTGTTAATGATTTGAAAGGCCCTTTTGGTAGAAAGAGCAGAGAAGGCAATTGGCTGTGAAAGTACCACGCTGGCGTTGTTCCGATCATGCAAGTTTTAAATAGGAATTTGAAAAGAACAAAGAGGGGAACCACCATTTGGACGAGGTGGCTGTCTGTGATAAAATCGCACGCAAGGTTCGTTAGTACTCCGCGCTCTATGCCAGAAGATCATTGCGTAAATCCAACCGTCATGGAAATTAAGTGTCTTCAGTGTTTATGTATGCAGACATGGTGCCAAGGTTTGTTTGGATCTCCATGGCCAGACCCTGACACAAAACCGGTTTTTATCCAGGGAGCTGCAACTTCGACAGCCCATCTACCAGCGCACTGCCAGCTATGGCCACTTCGGTCGCAGCGACTTCCCCTGGGAGCAGCCCAAGGAGCTCATCTTCTGATGTCAACCATAGATGGCAGCACCTGTCGACAATGCCGTGATCTTGTTATATTGTGTGTCCCCGCAGGGACGTAAAAGCGAAAATGATGCCGAAGCCAATCACGGGCGCTGGAATTCGCTCATTCCGTTGCATGATGATGTTCAACCATTCGGTCACATTGACGTCATTTGGTGGCGTTACTGGCAATAATGGTATTGTAATGACATCATTGTATGCATGCATACGGTACAGCTAGCAAGGAAATGTACCGCTGTCAGCCTTAAATGAGACTCCCTGACTGTTTTGCTCCAAGGTCAGACATGACGCCGCGTGCCTTGTGTGTTTTCACTGTCAAATATCTGCGTTTGACATTAACTGTTTTGTTAGATCTGTGTTCTTGTCCGTGTACATGGGCCCAGCTTACCTTTTAGTGGTTTTTAGTGGAAATGACGGACAATGACATCTTTTATTTTTCGATGTGAATTGTGAGAGAAAGGATGTTGCTTGTGCGTTTACACTAGTTAGCCTATAGCCACTATAATGCTGTCTTATTTTCATCGCGTGCGTCAAATTCTGATTGGGGTCTTGGTGTGAGTCATTGACTATTTTGGTGTGGGCCATTACTGTATTGTGTAGTCGGGATGGTTCAATACAAAGGAATGCCTGCAACCACAAGTGCTTTATATATGCAATAATGCAACGACAGAAGTAACAGACTGCACACATAGGGTAATGCCACCAATTTAGGCTACGCTGCTTTACTTCCCGCAGACAACTTATGTATTTTTTAAGCATCAAAAGAACGTATTTGAAGCAAAGACATATCTCAGATGAAAAAGAAGGAAAAAGATCTGCCCTCTAGCCTTGGCGGTTCGCACATTTCTGGCCTAACCTTGCATTAGAAGCACGACTCTTGTTCTGATGAGTTACGAACTTAGAAAGCAAAATGCGGGCTAGGGTGAGCTTGGAAGTGCGACGCGTCATCACATTACGACAATATCAGCTCTATTTTTCGAAATAACCGCACCGCCAATGACGGAAATAAACGACCAAGCACAGAGTGACACCAGACATCAGCAAAGTTCATTTTGATGACAAAGTCTTTTAGTAACGGCGGTAACAACGATCAACAGTTTCTATGAGTATCTTGATGTGAACCGGTGTCGACACTTCTGCATTTCCCCTGATTGTGGGAAATGATGAAAAATATAATGTATATAGCAGGTGGTTCCAAGACGAGGCCGAACAGTACACCAACACCCTGCGCCAATCCGACGGCCTTTCACACAGTCTTCACGGATGTTTGGGCCGGACAACGGGCAACCCCACAGCGGCCAGACCTCGTGGCGCGCAACAGTGATGCGAGGAGTGGGCAACGGCCGGACCGCCCCCGGGACGCAGAGGCCCTCTAGGGCCCTGAAAGGGCCAATTCGGTCACGGTAGTGCCTTCTATCAAGGCCGCTACTGCCGCGCTTGCCCAGCGACTCCGAGACCAGTGAAACGTGATCCCGGTCCCGCGCCCACGAGAACACTCAGGCCGTGGTGTTCAACTTTTGCGCTCGGCTGAGAGAGCAAATAGAGGACACGTTCCAGATTGTAGGCAGTACGAGATGAGGGGAAGGACATCGCCTGCGATAAGTTTGTGTGTGCAGGTGTGAATTGGTAACAAATCTGATAACAATATAGACCAAACAGGATGGAAATCCATTGTTTGACTGATTTGGATGTCCTACTCAGTGGTGGGATACGGTCGAGGTAACTCCCATCATCTCCAGACAGTGAGAGGGGCATGAAGTTGGAGCTGTTAATACGAAAGAGTAATAGCTTTGTTTGCCTGATGCGCCCAGTCGGCGATGGCCGCCTCGCTGGAGCTGTCTTTTTACTGTCCATGTCGTGCAAGGCGTTTCCACGGCGTGAGACCTCGTCCTGGAACAGGCTGCTGTTGTAGCGTCCCAGAACCATGCAACGTTCATGCCGAAGTTTGTCTGATGTAACCTCGATTTTGCTGTTTTGATCGCGCAACGTGCAGACTACGGCCTCGAATGAAACGCCAAACCATCTGTATAGCACGATTCCCGATGAATACATGATAATGATGATCATCATGCTGATTGTGATGGCCACGCGGTCAAAGTTCTGTGGCTTCACGCTACGATCACGTGGTGTGATTTGAAGACTCGTTGATGGATGACGGCAGGATTGGCAGACATTCCGTGCGGAGGGTCTGCGAATGGTCGCTTGTTTCTGCCAGGTCTAGTTTCCAGAACAGAGGCCTGGGAAGGCCAAACAACCAAGCCCCATGTCGCAGAACACATGGTATGCTCATCGGTTCGAAAAATTGCTGTTAAGCACAACACCTGAAATTGCACAGCACGTTTTCTTGGTTTCAATTACTTTTGTCTTTTGCTTGCCATAACTGCTAGCTGAAGTAATAGAAAAATAAACCGCGCAGCGACACATACTCACACAGAACCAAACAAAGTTCCTTGCATATGTCGTGCTTGTTTGCGCCCCTCGCCCCATTTCCACTACAAAAACGGCCACAAACACATTGCGCCGGCGTAAGAGCTGCTCCTTTGTGAGTCCGCAAGCCCGCAACGCATGGGCTTAGCAGCCCGCAGGGGCTTTAGCAGGTATTACTGGCTACAGCGCGGGTATTGGGGAATATTCTATATATAAAATTGTCCCATTTGTGTTTTCTTAACCATTTATGTGTATCTCATTAACTAGCAATTACATGAGTAACACATATTGATGGAAAAAGAAGTTATTCATTTGAGCAAAACTTATTAAAAAGGACTTATATTTCATCACAAAGTTTTCCTGTTATGCAATGCTTGTCATTTCACGAATGGATAATACGTCACTTGCTGTACCTCCTGAGGAAGACTGCCACAATTTATTAGCTGTCCATCCTAGTCAGGTACAATCACTTAACTATACCTTCTGAGAGGAAAAAATCTCGATACAGGGGCAGGAACCAATCTGGAAGAGTCCCAAATTTGTGGTGGACTCGCCATGGGTATAGTTTCCTATTCAGTTTATGCCTTCCAGCTGCAACCCCAACAACAAAATAAGTTAAACCATTTCTTCCTGCTCGGGCCATCCAAGCATATTTTGCAGAACTACACTCCTGGATTTTGCACACCATTTACCAAATAGATCACAAGTCACAGAGAACACAGGTCGCATGAAAACACCCAATGGTTTGTAGGCACATTTGACTGATGCAACTATACAGGACATATTCATACAGCAAATACCAACCAATGCCTAGGCTGTATTGAAAGCATGACCCTGCGTTGAAATTCTAAAAATGCGTGTGAAATATATTGCGGCATACCAATCGAATGGTCTCCAGCTGGGGCGTTATCTGTAAATCATGTAACTTTTTACGGAAATGCTTTCTGTTGTATACATACACTGATTTGGTATTTAGCCAGGAGGAAGGCCACAGGAAACACCAAATACCAATGCAAAAATCGTCGCTCGGAGGTCGGCAAATATTGGTATATATCGTCATCTGTTCAAGGACCTCAGATGCGTATCTAAGGATGATATTTACGTAGCGTACGGACGAGCTCGTATTTGCTAGTAACGCTGAATGGACCATCTGTCCACAAGCAAGTCACGGGGCCATTTATGGTACAATCGTCTTTCACGAAATACCAGATTCACTTTCTGCGTCGATTGTCTGCGTGCCATGTGGCATGAATATATCGGCGCGGACATTTTACGTACACCCACGCTGAGTGTATTTGGAGCTTGAAGTTAGCACTAACAGAACATTTTTGCAGTTAAACTCTAGGCCTCGCTACTGGATGCAGCAAACGTCGATAGCAGGGGGTCATTTTGTGAAATGGTGAAGCGCAGGAGCTCATCCGGTAAGCTTGACTTAAACCGCCCCCAAAAACTAAGTTCTGTCCGGATTTTGGCCCGTTGTATTTGCAATCTCGATCTCAAGTGCTGCATTTTTTGTGTGTGCAAATCAGCCTGCGGCTGCTCAACTTGTTTTCGTTTTCTAGCTGTAAAATTCTGTGATATGGGGGATGAAAGCCCTGAAGTTCCCCACCCAACTGCGAAATCCTGCGCGCACACATGTTGGACAATGCGTCCAGTTCGGGAAAACGTCGTTGAAAAGTGAAGCAAACATATTACCTGTATGTGTGAATCTTTCATTTATAGATGCCTATCTGTGCAATCAGGTGAATTTGACCAACCGCCTTGACTTAAAGGCTGAAGAATATTGCACTTTTTCCCGATTCATGTATTGTCACATCAATTCTTTTCACTTCATTTTTCATTTTCTGCATTTCATTCTTCCCGTATTCCTCTTTTACCTCGATCCATGGGGAGGGAGGTTCGGGTCAGCACTTCGGGGAGGGAGGTTCGAGTCAGCACTTCGGGGGAGGGAGGTTCAGGGTCAGCACTTCGGGGGAGGGAGGTTCGGGTCAGCACTTCGGGGGAGGGGGGGTAAGGCCCTTCGAAAGTATGTTAAGAAACACCCCTGGTCATCGGCCATCATTCAGGTACTTACTGATGTCTGTGCAACTGGAAAAGCTGTTGCTGTAGTGCCTATTGGCTACGGCCAATGTTGTTTTTGATACTCTTTCCATGCCACGCTTCTGTGTGTGAGGCTATCCATTTTGCAGTGTATGCGCCAACTTTGTTTCAAGGACCAAACTGACTTTGTCTTGGAGAAAGAGGAGTTTGTACCTGAGACCAAGGGAATTGCACGTGTTTGCTCTTCGGCAGTCTCTTCAAAATGAGCCACAGTTTCAGATTTTAAAATAACTCTTATGCAACAACTTCACTCAGTGTTGGCCTAAAAAACAAAAAAACACGTCAAGGAAAACATGTTTGGAGATGTATATACTCTTGTTATGACCCTTACTTGGCGTCTAAGGTTAAATATATGTACCTGGGACGGAAAATAAGGTTTCTTGATGCTAGATGAAAATGAAAATGGCACATTTTGATGAAATGGTGATGAAATGATGATGAATGTACAAATGATGAAAATACAAATGAAGAGGCGAAAGTGTTTGCAGCTTTCTTATAGTTTCTTGTTTTGATTTTAATCAAAGTATAAAGTACAGCATGTGTACCTGGAATGTAAAATAAGGTTGGCGAACACGTCAGGGCATTTGGAGGAAACCTACCTGACGGAGCGGCTGCGGGCTTTCAAATTTTGGTACGGGGCGTTCCAAATTTTGGCGGAGTGTTCCAAATTTTGGCGGGGTATTCCAAATTTCAAAATGTGCCAGCTCTAACCGGCAGTAGTGTTTTCACAAGTTCGCGAGTTTGAGCCCGAGCATGAGCTCTGCAAGGCGAAATATTTGCAACTATCGCGTCTGTCCGAGCTTCAGAACTCTGAGTCTAAGGCAACCAATAGGCATTGAGGCTACAACAATGATCTGCATCAAGTTTAAGCCATCAAATTCTAGTATTGTACAATATTGCGGCGAGGCCGCGCTTCCAAATGCGGCAGCGCTGCCAAATCAAACATGGCAGCCGGACACGAATTCTGGCCAAGCGCTGTTGTCCGTGGCGGACAGGTGGCCGTCAGCTGGCACTTCGACTGGTCACGATTGGACATATTTTGGTGACCAGATTTCTCCAGATTGCACTGATTTTCTATTGCTCCATGGAGGCGATTATTGTTTATTCGTTTGAGCTGCAACTAGATTTCGGCTAGTTGCTTCTCCTCCGTCGTCGAAAGCCTTTTCTGCATTCATGACCATTTTTTTGCATATTATCCTGAGTGTTGTGGTCGGCCTCCGGGTGGTGTTGGTAGGTAACGCAGTAGTGATAGCCTTATTCTTCGGGTAAAAACCAGGAGAATGGAGAAATAGGCTAACTAATATTTCGGCAGCATGCCTTTATCGAAACAATAGCAGAAGTGCATTCACTAAGGCTTCTGCTATTGTTTCGAGGTGCATTCACTTTTCTATTGTTTCGATGAAGGCATGTTGTCAAAATCTTAACCTAACTATATATGCATTCTTCTGGGTTTTCTCCGAGGAACAAGGCTATTGCTGCTGTCTTATCTACGTGAATAAGGTTTCTCGCAAATTCACTGAACAACTTACTCAGTGTTGATAGGCCTTTTCACGCGTAGGCCTGAATTCACTTCCGCTACTGTCTCGGGGTGAATTCATTTCTGTTATTGTTTGGATACTGACATGTGGCCGAAATGTCGACCAATTATGTCTCCATTCTCCTGGTTTTTCTCCGAGGAATAAGGCTATTACTACCGTCTTATTTACCTGAATGACGCTTCTTGCGAATACACTGAACAACTTGCGTAGTGTTGGTAGGCATGAAACATTGTTGCGTTCTTTCAGTGCACTGCCAACCGTGGAAGACAGCCCAAACCATGTAGCCTTTTGGACGGTGCTTTTTCTGGCCGTGTAGTCCGTCTTCCGAGATCACCCGTTCCGTCAACATTTGGCGTCGAAATGCCTGGGTTGCGTTCACCCAGCGGACTTCCTTTTGATCATACTTCCGTGTGCTTGTTGTTAAGTATCAAGTGGATCACTTTTTAAAATCTAGCCTAAATCCTGCTAAGAGTTCTCGTCTTTTCCTGTGGTTTTCGGCAATCTTCTTACAGGCTGCAACGAGAGACCACTCTACATGGTTTAAATTGGCCCGTGTTCGTGTGAGAAGCGCTCTGAACTGACCGCGGCCGTTCCGTGTTTGGCTAAGCCTCTTATCAGACAGAGGGATCTCCGTTTCCTTTCTCCTTTGTGGCAGGCTCCTAATGTCGCTCGCCCAACGTATTTGTGTGCAGTCATGTCATAAATTCCCAGGTCAGTACTGAAGGCCATCCAAAGAACTGGGTGAGATTCCAAGCTGTGAGAGCCGGATGCTTCGCCGTTGATACGATGACGTACCCTACACCCCCCCCCCCCCCCCAACGTCCAACCGCAGCTTTTGCTCAGCAGCGAATACCATAGGCCTACCTTTATTGGGATGATTGCTCAGGATTTTTTGTTTTGATTCCAGAAGCGACATTTTTTGTCCGTATTTTGCTGATCGCGACCATTTGAAATGACTCACTTGCGTTCTCACCAGCACCACAGTGACATGAACCTTTGTCGTTACAGGTCCGCATGATTCTGAGCTCATCAGTGAATGTCATAAGCATGACTTTATTGGAATGACTGCTCAGAATTTTTGTTTTGATTTCAGAAGAGGTATTTTTTGTCCATGTTTTGCTGATCGCGACCAATTGAAGTCACTCACTTGCGTTCTCACTAGCACCACAGTGACACGAACCTTTGTCGTTACAAGTCTGCATGATTTTGATTTTGGTTGGGGTGAAATCTGATCCACCGACGTTCGTAACCTGAAAAGAAGTCTGAAAATAACTACTGAAAAGAACTCCAATAGAAAGTTGTCCGGTTTATCGAGTTACTCGTCTTTCCGTTTCATGAACATGTTTTGGTCTATGGTGAACGTCGTGACTTTTGCTCACATCCCATGCAATCTGGACCTCGATGGAAGTTTTGTTGGTTTCACCAATTGTATAGCATTGCAAAGGCGGCCATCTCGTTCAAGTAGACTTTAGAGGTTGTTATCATGTTTTTCTTCCGCATCTTGATTCCTGTCATCTACGTTTTTAGTTTCATCTTCAGCTGTCTTATTTTGCCACTTCCATCATCTAAAATACCCAGCAAATTGAGATATTGGCGTTTGCCTGTATAATGCTTGCATACAGCCCGTGCCAAATTGAGATATTGGCGTTTGCCTGTATAATGTTTGCATACAGCCCGTGGCAAATCCTCGCATCACAGGTTGTCAATTTTTGCTGAAAACTCAATTTCTTTTGAATGTCACTTAAAATATGCGAGTTCATTTAAGTACTCTGTTTACGAGCAAACAGATTGCTTTAAAGTACACAATCCCGGATAATGTCAATGTTGCGCGCGGTGCGTAACTGCACATGTTATGGTATGAGAGCGAAATGTTTAACGCCCATGTGCTACTTTTGGAGAAATGAAATATCCATAGATGACAGTAAGTACCGAAATCGCTTTTGCAAGTATTGCTGAAACCACTTTTGGTTAACCAAAATGACGACCACAAATTAAAGCCGTACATTCGCTCCTTTGTTTGCTAGATTACAAACCAAACGGAACGCAAATATTTAGGTGATCCGTTCTGGCATCCCGAGCAGCTAGTAGGCGTAATAAATCTCAGATCCAGGCAGCTGCCTTTTCGCCACCCGGTCAGATATATGAAACTTCCATTTCAGGGATCAAAACGTGAGACGAACCAGCAACCATGAGCCGTCCGCAGACTACTAGAGCCATCTAGCGACTATCAAGAACACTAGTGCCATCTACCACTGATTTCTGGAATGTGCTGTCGTCTCGGAGCCCTGAAAAGCTCGTGCTGGATCACAATGACGATGTGGCGGCTCGGGAGTTGGAAATGCAGTTTTAGTGCGAAACACGGGTGCCTTCGACGCAATATTGTATAATATATATTGTGATATATTAATTCAAGTTGATAATAATATGCCATCGGACAAAGGCTGGGACGACAGGCCTCTATACCTGGCGTGGATGTCATGCACAATTTTGAAATAAGAAGCTGACTGGCTGAAATTTTGTCGGGACCAGCTTAGACTGAAACTGCCTTGTGTCCGGTTGCAATGCGTGGTCTGTGATGCCCTTACTACTTTCACTTGCTAACGCGATCACCGGGAGCAGCCCCCGCCCACGTGTCGGTCGACCTTGCTTCTCCGGCATCCCTCCGACGCGCGGTTTTACCGGGGGCGTGCTGGGCAGTCAGAAGTGCTTCGGTTTGGCGGCTACCCTAGATGGTAGCCCCACCCGAGCCTCCCTCCCCCTCCCTCCCTCGCGGGGAGGGGAGGAGGGGGATGAGGCTTTCAGCCTCTCACTTTCCTCCCGGCGGTTACCACGATGCCCGGAGGATTGTAATGCTCACAGACAGCGATGTTGGTAGCGAGAACTCAGTAGTTCGTTTGCAGCTCTCGTACTGCTGCGATTTCCGCCGCCCAATGTAATCTGGCATAGTGACTAATGAACACATCACACTAATGCCTTTCACGTACATGGGCGGAAGCTGGAATTCACACACACAAACACTGCCACAGCAAACCATTGTATTTCACATAAGCACACACTCCACACACGACACGGTCCATCGGCTCAGCAAACAATGCACTCGGTAACACGGTTCAATCTTCACTGCGTAATACAAGCACCATGATCGAAATATCACGGAATCGCACGCGATGCCAAGCGCTTTGCGACGGTCAGCTGACGCGCAATCGCTTGCGTCACAACTGTAGCGGAATATTTCACCTTCATATGAAATTCCGTGATGAAATACTCCAGTTATTGTTGCACAAATAGGTCAACAACAACTGCAGCTCTAACAAGAGCTGTCGTTTTCATTTCAGGCAGCCAACGTGCTGCGGACGATTCCCTGCCAATCCATCTTAACAGTGTCTCCCGTCAGTCAGTACCATTGATTTGATCGCTGTTTTGTTCATGATATGACGAAGAAAGGCCTTGAGGTCTTGGTTACTCGTTATTGTGAGATAAGCGTTCTTATGCTGAGGATTTTCGACCCTCATTACGCCACGTGATACTGGTTAAACGACGTTATAAAGCAAACATTGATAGCAATGTCAATACCAAACGTTTCGAAACTGCGCACACTTATAGTCTCTTGTGACCACGAGCACGGCTTCAATACGCCGGCTATTGAAAACAAAACCAATGTGTGATCGATAACTTCGCTTACTTTGAACCTCCTGGTACAGTGAATGTCGATAGCTGTCAGAATAATAATTGTGATCTCACACTATGGTTTTGTCGTGGCATTGTGCAGAATGAGGGAAATAATGAGAATTGCTAGATCAGAGAACACAGACAGATATTCAAATTGTTAACACCAAGTTTTTACCAAATCATTGTTAGGCCTCACACGATCTTATTCCTGAGCTTCAAAACATTTTTTTTGGAGGGGGGGGGGGGGTATGGTTCAAGCGCGGCGTCATTGCCGATGACGCCGCGTGCGTCACAATTTTTTTAAACTTAACGAAAACAAATGACGGGACCACTTCCGCCGTCTTACCTGTGCTACTGTTTGCCTGTACTGATGTTGTCCATTCTCAACTATTTAACGTCCATTAAGTTTAATAAACATGGTCCGTTTGCTGGAAATCAACTCAAAGGAAAGGAAACTTAGCAGCTGAATCTAGGAAGTCGTATGGCTGATCTTAACACCAAACGTCACCATGATCACCACCGTTACAACACCACTCGCGAGTACAATTAACACGGTGCTTCAGCGCGCCAGGAGCACACCAAACCACACCACAGCGCAGTTCTTCACACACAGCGCGCTAGCCTTCCGGGCCTAGCACGCGGCTAGCCCAGTTCGCAGCACGCGGCGAGTCCAGTTCGCAGCACGCGGCTAGTCCAGTTCGCAGCACGCAGCTAGTTCGCATCGTTTCCACGTGCACCTCATCATCCCCTTCCCTCCTCGAAGAGATCCGATATGTGGTAGCGCTCGGTGCGGTAGTCGACGGCGTCACTGCTGGCAGCGTCTGCCTCAGACTCCGCGTCAGGCGAGACCAGCCACAGCCCTGGCAAAAACATACAACGATATTGTCAAAAGTTGTTTTGGGGAGACACGTAGCAGTAATGACCCAAGCGATGGTATTGGGGGGAAAATAAACAACCATGTTTTGGAAGGTGTTTTAGGGACCATGTGGAGCACTCAATCGCCGAAGCCATGATTATCGTGATAAGAACAAACGACGGCATTTTCAAAGGGTGTTTTGTGTGAGACACGTAGCAGTCAAGAGCTCTGGCGATGATTACCATAAGTATATACTTAATTTGATATCGTGTTTTTGTTCGCGGCACGTTTCTAACCGACGGTCGCTTAATTATCCCTGCTGCTTACACAAAAACTACCTCTTCGAAGCATCCCGTGGCACTCTGAGGGAATGTTCCACATTTGAAGATATTGAAGCAAGCATCAGATATGGCGAAATAAGCTCACTTATAACTATCAATATAATTATAAGTGGAAACGACCGTTCTTGACAACACAAAGCTCTATTTCGTAAAAATGTTCAACACGTCATTGTTTTATTGCTGCTGCTGCTGATGATTTGTGTTTAAGGGCATCATCGTACGTTGCACAACATTGATTGATAGCCAGTTGACGGTCGTTATATCTAGACATCGCGCTCATGAGCGCCAGATATGAACACCTCGACAATCATACTTTTCTAAGCCTTAATCGCCGCATGGCTTATCAAATGACAGGATTTTAATGACGTTATCTTGACGTCATGAATGCCAAGGTGACATTGAAATGCTTCCCCCAATGTGCACTTTCCCATTTTCGCGGGCGTGACACATCAGTCAAACGTGGTATATATATAAATAAATAAATAAATAAATAATATATATATATATATATATATATATATATATATATATATATATATATATATATATATATATATCTCTCTCTCTCTCTCTCTCTCTCTCTCTCTCTCTCTCTCTCTCTCTCTCTCTCTCTATCTATCTATCTATCTATCTATACCACAGACATATATATGTCTGCTGATGCCTGCCTCCTCTCATGGAATCGTCCTTTTACCTTACATACCTCACACGAAGCAAGCCCGGAGCCCTCCTAAACAATGCTGGATGACAAAATGCTGCCAGGGTATGTCAAAGTGATGGTGACGAAAGGTCACTTGGTTTCATCATTTCCGATGGAACGTTTTGGCAATTAGTTGAAGAAAGACCAGAGGCACGGGCCGCACCCAGGTAAGGCTCTGCATACAATGTCACCAATGCTACTCCACAAATTAAATTTTTGAAGCGGAAGGAAGCGGCAGGTGGCCCATGAACCGCAGCACGCTTGACCCATTTTTGATGCGCCAACCAAAGGTGCGCGCCAGAGCCTTCCTTACCAGGTGGAGGGGTCTCCGTGGAAATCTGTCCGACGGCTCTCCGCTTCGGCTCGCCGTGGTGAATGTCGTTCGCAGGCGCGACTTCGTCTTCGCCGTCCTGCACCAACAAGCCGTTCGGCAGAGGGTGGCCTTCAAACGACCTCTGCATTCTCTGGCGGCCCAACTTGTGACCTTTCGGCGCCGCGGTGTCCGGACTCGCTCTCGGGGTCACGTCAAGATTGGCCCCTAGCGGCGCCGCCGGTGCGGATGTCACCAGCAGCACGCAGGCGGCAACCGCTATCAGCTGAACCTGGGAACAAGGTGAACAGTTAATGTCACTAAGACAGTGTGTTATCACAGGGTCAGAGAGGGCTGGGGATCGGGAAAGGGGGAAGGGCACGAGGTAGCCGCTTGAGTTGCATCAATGTAAAGCAAGTGGTTACGGCGTGATACAGAGTAGGCATGGCTAGATTTGAGAGGCCGCAGCGAACCAGGAGCTCCATACTGTAATCTTGATATTAATTATAGCGACACTATTATTACTATCTAACGACACGCGCACCAACCATAGCGAGGTGATCATGACAGTCACACAGAAAAAAGGTTTGTTGTCCCACACCAGTATCAAACATCTCTTTAGTACCGTGCACAGTATGAAGTGTGAGCGCTCCTGCTCTGTGAGGTGAAGGGTTCGTGTCCTACCGGTGGAGAAAGTCAAGAAGTGATTTTCGGATTATCAACTATGAACATCGCCCAGGAAAACATAACACTCTCTCCCGCTCAGCGGCGCCTTCGCTTGCGATGCTGCGTGGTCAGGGGCATTCTCATTTCTCTCACCCGGAACCGGACTTTCCACCGCGCTAAAGGTCGTTCGTAGCACAACCCGGATCGAGCGATGCAGGAAATTAGTGTGCCAGACCCCGTGCTTTACAATCTCCTGCATGCCTACTGCCAGCACTGTAGTTCTGATGCAAGGACATTATTGATTTGATCACAAGCACCCTCACAGATTACAGGGATACCCTGATTAGGTATAGATTGCCACACCAACTACCAAGTCGAAGGCAAACTACGTGCAGCTTGCTGCTTTGCCGCACCGGCAGCGCAAATCACATCCAGGTCACTAACGACATCAATTTATAAACAAATATAACCCTGCCATCTCCACCGAGCTTAACTCCAAGCAGCCTGTAATCGCCTCCAACATCTCCGGCCTCCCCCAACACCTGGGCGCTTTCTTCGGCCTCCGCAGCCGGAACCGGGGCAGAGGCACTAATCACCGGTCTCTCACGAGGATTACAGTTGCGTGATGCGCTGGGCACCCCGCCCACGGGCTAGTAAGCTTCGCGTATCGCACACACAGGCAGATGCGAGTTGCAAGGGCGGATCCAGGGGGCGTGGGGGGGGGGGGGGGGTAGGCTGCCCAGGAAGACAACGGAAAACATCTCGAGCTGCACGGTCTGCTTGATTTTCGCATGCAAGTCGGGACTTGTTACCAAACAGAGTATGGCTGCTCCATGATCCCATGGCGGATCCGCCCCTTTAGGAGTTCCGCGTCCTGCTGACGGGACGGTGGTGCTTAAGCTGACAGAGGTGCTGAGTGAGGTCCACCCGCGGCTTCTGTCAGGGAGGCAGGCCAGCGAAATGTACTGACAGCGAGTGTTGAACCCGGGTCGTGTCTGAGGTGGCACCACTGGTTGAAGGCTCGGGGAGGCGGGTTTTTCAAAAGAAAGAATTCAACCGAATGTTTTTCAGGGGATGCTTTCAAGTCGCTAGGTTCAACGTATGGGCAGCATGTCGGGACAAACCACAACATTTCCACAGTTCTGCTTTGGTGAATTGCTCTCTACAAATTAAGGCCGATGATTGATTGAAATGTGTTGTCATCTAACGAATACGAATGTGCCGCAGGCGGAAGTGGAGAACATACAAAAAGGGCATGTGACAGCGAATGAACGTTGCTTTCATTTTTAGTCGGGGCATGTCGGCTTATATGATATATGTATATATATATATATATATATAATATACATTTATGTATATGTGTATGCATGCATCCATATTTGTTCCTTGCTGTCGGCCATGTATTCGAAGTTAAACGCACAACGCTCGCAGAGACGTACACGACGTACACGGTATGTGCTCGCCAAGCAATGTTCTAAACGGACGTTTTCCCCCAGGCAACTTGCTGAATTGCATTCACTAATGACCACATCTATTCGAAGGCAAAAGCAAACTTCTCGTTCTCGATATGACAAAAAACGGATACAAGCATCACTGCAAGTAACCAAATGCCATCAGTCATTCAGTATTATGGCATTCGGCACCCCGCTTTTCGCGGGGGGGCGGTGATTAATTTTTTTACAGGTGGCCAGGCTAGAACCCCACACCCTGCTACTGGGAGCCCTGCGCTCTCCCGACTGCGGCTTCATTTCGCATTTAATTTTAAGGGTTGTGTTGAGTTGAACATGTGTTACTGAATTAGAACATGGTCGAATTCTATTAACGTTGACAAGATCATGCAATATGCCAAGCGGTATTCCACGGCATGTCACCAAGACATGTTCACCAAGACATGTTCACCATGTTTTGAGACAGCCGGACAGCTGTTGACGTTTCCATAGTAAGAGCAGAGGCTGGCTGTAAAAAACCACAGCGCAACGGTCATAAAAAACAACAAACACTGCACAACTGAAGACCGCGCTGTGCTGTTGCTGCTTTTTCAACAAAAATTCCACAGCTGAGCCTCGCGTCAAAACAGCCCGCGTTACACTGTGGTGACTCAGGGGATGAGCCACTGTCCTGTCTAGAAGGATATGCCCCGTGTACTGCGATCCGGAACGTTGAAATCAAAGCCGGTGATCAAGGGCGGTGAAAACGTCAAGAGCATCTAGTTTTTTTGTGTGCAGAGAACGTTACATAAAAGTGTGCGGTCGGAGTGGCCCAGGCTGTCCTTCGCTGAGATCATATTGAAGGAAGCCAAGTCCTGATCCAGTCTATGATGCGGATTGTTCCGCTTGACAACCAGCCGCATTGAACGTTCGCGTGGATTGCACGCGAGCCATGGCGAGTTGGCTGTGACTGTTTCCGCGTGGATAATACACCCATACCCCTGTGTTGATCTGACGTGAGCAGTGTAGTCGCATCTCAGGCTTTGCGGCACAGGATCGTTGACGCGGGCACTCCGTGCAGCTGCGTGCTCCTCACAGGCAGTCCCAACACGTGGCTCACTTTGGCCCAGTTGTGTCTAATTCAGGCAGAGAAGTAGGCTTAGTGTCAGGAATGACGTCCAGGTCGCGTGTGTCGGTTGACCGCTATAAATCGACGCCGACAGGTGTGTGTGTGTGTGCGGTCAGAGCGGGAAACGCTCGCGGGATAAATACGATCGCGTTACATAAATCGTGGATTAATTTTAGGTGCCAAGTGCACCCCCAGATGGCAAAACCACCTAGGTCGGCTTAAAGGGCAACTGTGTGGGCGGTGGCTTTGGGCGGTGAAGGTGCCGGCGGTTGCAGGTGGTTATGAGGAGGGAGGGGTAACGACCTCATTGTTGGCACCTTAAACCTCCCCTTGAGGGCCCGAGGTCAAGCGCCAGTTGCGCCATGGCCGCAGAGCGGAAGTATGACCTTGCCGTCGCTTGCTCTATGACGGGGTGCGCCATGCGCCATGTCTGTCGCTCCATGACAGGGTGCGCCATGCGCCATGTCTGTCGCTCTATGACGGGGTGCGCCATGCGCCATGTCTGTCGCTCTATGACGGGGTGCGCCATGCGCCATGTCCGTCGCTCCATGACAAGGTGCGCCATGGCGTGCGTGGCGCTCCCTGACAAGAAAACGACCGCGGCGGTTTTCATGCCATGATGAAGTATAAGATCGTCGGCGTGCGTCACACTCTGGGCTTGAATGAGACAGGAGAGATTGGTTGTGAAGCAAGTAACAGAAGAGGTCCACATACATCCGGCCATGCCTTCCAGCATCCTCGACAGGGCCAGTGTCTTATCGGAGAGCTTGGCGTTAAGAGCGACCACTACCTTTCATGGCGTGAGATTACACTCGATCCGAGAGTATGTGGCGTGATATAACACTCGGTCCGAAAATATACGTCCTTATATAACATTCGGTCCGAGAATATGTGGCGTTATATAACATTCGGTCCGAGAATATATGGCGTTACATAACACTCGGTCCGAGAATATGTGGCGTTATATAACACTCGGTCCGAAAGTACGTCAGTTTGGTTTCGTGATAAAGTTTTTGGTTTATGAAGAAGCGGGGTGTGATATACAGCAGGAAATGACCATGAGTGATCAGCGAAGAGTGCGCCTGTGTGTGCGCCAGAGGTACGGAGCATGATTCCCCGAAGTCCCCCCCCCCTTCCTGCTAGGGTGGGAGGCAGGCGACGCCATATAGCCTCAGCAGCTGAGTGCATCGTTAACTACCAATGACGACGACAATGTTTTTTCACCTTCCTGAATCGAGCCTCGTCCACGCTTATGGGCAGACCGATATGTGGGAAATACGGGAATACATGATCGGTTGGAAAGGAAGCCGTGGTGGATATGGAGAAACACAAGCTTAAAACATGTAAGAGTACCGTCAAACACTACTTTTCAGATTTTTGAAGAAAGTGAAGGCGGCTAAATGTCTATGCAGTCACGTGTATTTTTCTCACCTTTCGTGCGCCAGATAATATTGACTTTCATACTCTCGGAAAAAACGCCTTGGAAGATGATGAGGCAGAACAGGACCTCAACAGAAACGCCAAACTCATGAGAACACTTAGATGACGGCGGACGCTACGGATGTCCGGGACAAAAGCTTGGTGTTTTCCGATGAAGGAAAAGAACAGCTCATATCTTCCCTCGGTTGCGTCAAATGTATAAGATAAGACCTATCAGATGCCGCAGGGTCGGGAAGCGCACCAACATTAGGAGGCGAGAACATTCAACGGAAGTGTGTAGTGAAGAGGTCAGTGTATTCAGCACGCCGCCCCTGCTGCCCCCCACCCACTGACCTGGCTTGCCGATTTGACCTAGTTTGACCCTTCGCAGCTCACTCGCACTGCTGTTCAATGACGCTAATCGCGTACATTTTACGCGAGGGATCTTACGTTTTCTTCCACTCGGGTATTAGTGTAAAGCAGCCTAGTTTCTTAAACGCTGTACTTCCATCAAGCACGGTCTCCTTGCCACAGTGCAACTGTGGCAGGTTTTGAGACTTGGTTAGTTTTAAGTTAAGTTGGAGCATCAAGGTCGTAAGGCCTCTCGTCCGGAAAGGGGGGGGGGGATTGAAAGCGCCCACCAGGCTACAC